GTTTTCTCGATAACGTGCTGTTGTTGTCGGTAAGTTGGTTAGCTTGTCTGTCAGTTGTATTTACGGTGTTGTGGTTTGTAGTTTTTTGTGTCTGTTAATGGATTAGTTGTCGTTGGTTGGTCGGTTGTCGGTTAGTGGTGTTAGTTGTGGTTCGTAGTTTTGTGGTCGTTGGTTGGTTGGTCGTCGATTAGTGGATTAGTTGTCGTTGGTTGGTCAGTTGTCGGTTAGTGGTTTTAGTTGTGGTTCGTAGTTTTGTGGTCGTTGGTTGGTTGGTTGGTTGGTTGGTCGTCGATTAGTGGATTAGTTGTCATTGGTTGGTCGGTTGTCGGTTAGTGGAGTTAGTTGTGGTTCGTAGTTTTGTGGTCGTTGGTTGGTTGGTTGTCGATTAGTGGATTAGTTGTCATTGGTTGGTCGGTTGTCGGTTAGTGGTGTTAGTTGTGGTTCGTAGTATTGTGGTCGTTGGTTGGTTGGTCGTCGATTAGTGGATTAGTTGTCATTGGTTGGTCGGTTGTCGGTTAGTGGTGTTAGTTGTGGTTCGTAGTTTTGTGATCGTTGGTTGGTTGGTTGGTTGGTAGTCGATTAGTGGATTAGTTGTCGTTGGTTGGTCGGTTGTCAGTTAGTGGTGTTAGTTGTGGTTCGTAGTTTTGTGGTCGTTGGTTGGTTGGTTGGTTGGTTGGTCGTCGATTAGTGGATTAGTTGTCATTGGTTGGTCGGTTGTCGGTTAGTGGTGTTAGTTGTGGTTCGTAGTATTGTGGTCGTTGGTTGGTTGGTTGTCGATTAGTGGATTAGTTGTCGTTGGTTGGTCAGTTGTCGGTTAGTGGTTTTAGTTGTGGTTCGTAGTTTTGTGGTCGTTGGTTGGTTGGTTGGTTGGTTGGTCGTCGATTAGTGGATTAGTTGTCGTTGGTTGGTCGGTTGTCGGTTAGTGGTGTTAGTTGTGGTTCGTAGTTTTGTGGTCGTTGGTTGGTTGGTTGGTTGGTTGGTCGTCGATTAGTGGATTAGTTGTCGTTGGTTGGTCGGTTGTCGGTTAGTGGTGTTAGTTGTGGTTCGTAGTTTTGTGGTCGTTGGTTTGTTGGTTGGTTGGTTGGTCGTCGATTAGTGGATTAGTTGTCGTTGGTTGGTCGGTTGTCGGTTAGTGGTGTTAGTTGTGGTTCGTAGTTTTGTGGTCGTTGGTTTGTTGGTCGTCGATTAGTGGATTAGTTGTTGTTTGTTGGTCGGTTGTCGGTTAGTGGTGTTAGTTGTGGTTCGTAGTTTTGTGATCGTTGGTTGGTTGGTTGGTTGGTAGTCGATTAGTGGATTAGTTGTCGTTGGTTGGTCGGTTGTCAGTTAGTGGTGTTAGTTGTGGTTCGTAGTTTTGTGGTCGTTGGTTGGTTTGTCGTCGATTAGTGGATTAGTTGTCGTTAGTTGGTCGATTTTCGGTTAGTGGTGTTAGTTGTGGTTCGTAGTTTTGTGGTCGTTGGTTGGTTGGTTGGTTGGTCGTCGATTAGTGGATTAGTTGTCGTTGGTTGGTCGGTTGTCGGTTAGTGGTTTTAGTGTGGTTCGTAGTTTTGTGGTCGTTGGTTGGTTGGTCGTCGATTTGTGGATTAGTTGTCGTTGGTTGGTCGGTTGTCGGTTAGTGGTTTTAGTGTGGTTCGTAGTTTTGTGGTCGTTGGTTGATTGGTTGGTTGGTCGTCGATTAGTGGATTAGTTGTCGTTGGTTGGTCGATTGTCGGTTAGTGGTGTTAGTTGTGGTTCGTAGTTTTGTGGTCGTTGGTTGGTTGGTCGTCGATTAGTGGATTAGTTGTCGTTGGTTAGTCGGTTGTCGGTTAGTGGTGTTAGTTGTGGTTCGTAGTTTTGTGGTCTATCGTGGTCTGTTGTTGGTTAATGGTGGTAGCTTATGTTCGTTGGTTTGTGTTATTTTGTTTGTGATATGTTTTTGTTTACTGTGTACATATACACTTATGCTACACACTTATCTGATTTTCACCATTTCTGGTCATCTAGCTGATGGGTCCTCTAACCGATGTCCTCTAGCTGATGGGTCCTCTAGCTGATGGGTCCTCTAGCTGATGGGTCCTCTAGCTGATGGGTCCTCTAGCTGATGGGTCCTCTAGCTGATGGGTCCTCTAGCTGATGGGTCCTCTAGCTGATGGGTCTTCTAGCTGATGGGTCCTCTAGCTGATGGGTCCTCTAGCTGATGGGTCCTCTAGCTGATGGGTCCTCTAGCTGATGGGTCCTCTAGCTGATGGGTCCTCTAGCTGATGAGTCCTCTAGCTGATGGGTCCTCTAGCTGATGGGTCCTCTAGCTGATGGGTCCTCTAGCTGATGGGTCCTCTAGCTGATTGGTACTCTAGCTGATGGGTACTCTAGCTGATGGGTCCTCTAGCTGACGGGTCCTCTAGCTGATGGGTCCAGTAGTTAATGGGTTCTCACGTTGAACGGTCCTTTGGTTGATGAAGCCTCTTGTTGATGTTTCCTCATGTTGTTTGGTTTTCTTGTTGATGGTCCTATTGTTTAAGTAGTGAAGATGTTCAGAAATAAACAGTCCTTGCTTATTCCACGAACAAATCATTATCCACACACAGAATCCACACAACTTTGCCCATTTAAATGTGTGTACCAAAGATAGTTATGTTATACAGTTGAGCTAGTTTATCTTGTGAGGTCTTTACAATAGCCAACACACTGCAAAAAAAATTCCTACATCAATAATTAACACAACCGGCCTGTTTTCACAAGAAAGGGAACTAGTTGTTGAACACACCATGCCATGGGTTTTGACATGCGTGTTGTTTCATTTATCTCCCCTCCCCTCTCGGTTGTCTGTGCCACCAGTGGTTTCCCTTTGACCATCTCCCATTGGTCGTACCCTGAACACTAGCTCAGACACCCAGATGTCAAAACACACCAGCACACGTTAACCTTGCACTAGACACTGTCCTACACCCATCGAACATACACGAATTTTACACCATCTCACTACACATTGTTTACACGTAGAACTTTAACGTACACACAAAACTCCGTCATCACACAACCTACCCAACTGTAGTCACTATACAACATATACATATATCAGTATCTATATATTTGTTAACCTAGCTTAGATCTTTTTAAAACTGTTTTCTATAACTAAAGTATCTATCAACATTGTGAAGTACTAAGGGTATAATTCGGAATTCTTTCTCGTAACTTGTTTTAAAAATGTAATACTACATCACACAAATCCAACACGTTTCAATTTGCATTATTTTCTTTGAATTAATTGTTTTAAACCGAAGGTGGATTTTCCCCCATACTTTAAATTTAAGAATGCTTCTTAAACACTTAAACAGCTCACGAAGAAAGAGAGAACTAGTCTTTGAAACTTGATGTATTTTATTAGATAAATAAACCGGGAGTGATCTCCCCTAAACTTTCTCGAATATTCTAATATAACACTACAGGGGATGGCAACTCGGGATATAGACTTCTAGACATGATTTTTAATCCATTTTAAATACTCACATTTCTTAAAATAGAATATAATCTCGTAGAAAAAAGAAATGCACACCAAGTGAACGCGAAATAAAAAAGCGCATTATAGTGCGCAATATTATTAGTACTTTTAAAATTTACATTAGTTTTTTTAGAAATCGGAAGTAGCGTAAAGTACTACTTCCGGTCAACGGAAATTACTCAAAATTTAACAGAAGGTAGAGAATTAGATCTTTTACTTACATGTGAAATTTCATTTATCTATCTGAAATAGTACTCAAGTTATAGGCTTTTGAAAAATTCAAAGTAGAAAAAGTACCACTTCCGGTTATCGGAAATCGCTCAAAAGTTGATACGGATCTACGATTTTGATAAAATACTTATATATGAAATTTCATCAACCTAGCAGTAACGGTACTCAAGTTATCGTGTTTACACACGGACACACAGACACACAGACACACACACACACAGACATACGGACAAGATTGCAAAATTATGTTTTTCCGTATCATTGAGGTGTAAAACGTCGAGATTTGTAAAAATCTCGATTTTTTTTTTTTGCACGATTACAATACTTTCCCTATACTACGTATATACGAGAAAGTAAAAATGATGTCAAGCTTCTTTGGCCACTTTATCTCCTCTTATGCCGCTTGAAAGATAATGTAGGAAAATGTAGGAAGTTATTGAAATGTGTTTGTGCCCCATTAAAAAAAGTGTATCTATTTTTAGCGCAATTTCCATTCTGGAGAATTGCGTTTATTAACTCGTCATTTCTGGGAATGGATGGATGGATGGATGGATGAATGTGTGTCCGGGCTTTAAGTCGTATCTCCTCCTCAACGAAGCAATATCGATGAATAGTTCCAAAAGCAATTATGTTAAGCAAGTTACGAGAATGAGCATAGGCCATAAAAATTCCGGGTTTCTTTCATGTATATCCCGGAAAAGCCAAAAAACCTCGAAAAAATTCAGTTTTTGGCCCATATCTCGGCAACCAGACCACTTAGCGACTTGAAACATGTACCAATCGATTCCTGTCATAATTTAGAACAATATTGCCGAAGAAAGTTTTCAAAAATATTCTCTCGTTCGGTCACAAATTTTAAAATTACATAAACACCTACAAACCGATTGTTCTTCTAGCTTGAACGCACCCCAACATTATACGTCAGAGCTATTTTTAGATAACATAAGGAAATTGCGCACAAATGTCACTAGACTTTTTTAATTAACTTGTTTTTCTAACGTGTTGCATTAGGCCTATTTTAATTAATTTAATCATGTAGTACAGTAGTAGCCTATAGTACATGAATGCCCGTTCGTGATTTCTATCTAAACCGTTTCGTCGAGATCAAAATTATTAAAAGGATAGACTACAATAGACTACATGCAACCTTCGAGGATTTGTTCAGTGTGATTATTTGAAAGAAATCAATTTTTACAATAATTGGGCGAAAATAAAATGTTGTGTAGCAAGGGGCGTTTACTCTCGCATAGTGGTTATTAAAAACTATAATTGTTTACTTTTTAAAGGCTTTAATTTTAGATCTGAAACATTGTAAGTCACGTTGGGCGAAAGTAACACATTATATTTTTAGGCCTAATTAAAAATTATCAGTAATTAAATATAGTAATCATTAATAATATAATAATGTTCAGGCTGACATTAATATTTAAGATTATCTAGAGTCTAGCTAAAGATATTTTGTTCAGAAATAACCTTTTTGCCTTTGTTTTTTAGGCCTGAGCAGCAGGCCTACATTAATTAAAAAATAATTTTTCAATTAAAAAAATAAAATGGTAATCTATCGTTTTAGGCTTTAGGTACGTAAAATCGCCCGCGACTAGTAATGTGAAAAACAGGTGACACCTCAAATTTTAATAATTATTTCACATTTTGAGGAGGATTGATTTTGGAAAAATACAAAAATGTTCCTAGATCTGTTTTTTTAACCCTCTTATTCTTAGTTAAAGACGTAGCTTTTTTAGAGAGCCGGTGCTAAGAAGACGGAGCTTACTTTCAAGTTTTGCACTTGTATCACAAAAAAATTTTGAAAAAAATAAACGAATTATTTTACATGCATAAAAATATATAGGCCTAGATCTATTATTTTTTAGGAAATTGAATGAGCTAATATGATTTTTATAAATCTAATAAAAACCTCAACATATATATATGTGAGCTTTCTGATTTGCATAATTTATGCACGAAAAAAATTTGACTTAACTAAATTACAGTAAATTTGTATAAAAATACGTTTTTTCTCTCTGTAATGCTAATCTAAATAAAATAATACACAAACATCTATTCAATAATCTGAACTAATTTACTGATTGTTATTTCTACATTAGAATTTCTAAGTATATTTTTAGTATATTTTGATGACTGAACTGTTGAAAATTTACGATAGGACTCACGGCACTAAAAAAATCGACAAAAAACAAAACAAGTTAATAAAAAGTCTAGTGACAATTTAAGCGCAATTTCCTTATGTTATCCATAACAATTTTAAATCGAGATAAATCATATATTCAGCAACGGTGCCCAAATATTAAAACGTTTATATCAGTATTTGACTATGATTAAAACCCGCCCTCTTGTTTGTAAACATTAGCACGCGGAAAAAAACAAGCGACGCGTAGCTCGCCTCTCTCTCTCTTGCCACGCGCAGTGACGCGAACGATCCTACGTCCCGACAGGCTAGCCTCCCGTATCAGTCGAAAAAAAAGGGGAAAACAAAGGGGAAACTCAGTTTAAAATAGTAGTAATTAATTTTTTGTGACCGAACGAAAGGATATTTTTGAAAACTTTCTTCTGCAATATTGTTTTAAATTATGGCAGGAATCGATTGGTAAATGTTTCAAGTCGCTAAGTGGTCTGGTTGCCGAGATATGGGCCAAAAACTGCATTTTTTTTAGGTTTTTTGGCTTTTCCGGGAAATCCAGGAAGGAATTCCGGGAATTTTTTTGGCCCACAATCATCCTCGAAACTTGCTTAACATTTTTGCTTTTGGAACAAGTCATCGATATTGCTTCGTTGAGGAGGAGATATGACTTAAAGCTGTGGACATCCATCCATCCATCCATCCATACAGAAATGACGGGTTAATAAACGCAATTCTCCAGAATGGAAATTGCGCTAAAAATGAGGCAGACTTTCAATGTGAGAATTGACATTGAAGTGCTAGATATGTACTAAAACAGTTAGAAGCAATCTGATTGGCTGATATGATACTAGAAAGCCAATCGTGTGGCTTCTACTATCACGGCTTAGACCCGGCCGATAGATCGGTCGCTCGTCTTTTTTGGCTATAAAACCGGCGGCCAATAGATCGGCCCGGGCGTCTCAAGAGGGTTAAACAATTGAATTAAAACTTTTCAGTGATAAATTAATAAATGAAGAGTAGTGATGTTTCCAACAGATGCAACCATGCTCATTTACTATAGCAGCCATCTTGTTTAAGTTTTTTTTTTTGTAAATTTATAGCGAGAGATTCAAGGGAAGCTACTCTATTTTACAAATGGCTGCTGTTTATATAGCAAATCTTGCTCGCAAGCACTGCTGTTTAAAGTTAATTTCTGGCCTATATTGATATATTTAGGCATTGATTTAGGTTTATTATTCATTTATCTATAATATTTGACACAAATATATCACAATATACTTCTATTAAAGCCCTGACAATGAGGTAACTTTTTCGTACATTACTAGCCGCGGCACTTTTACGTACCTAAAACGATAGATTACCTAAAACATTTCCATGCCGTTTTTATATCTTTCATTGTTCAATAATTAATTAATAATATAATTATTAGGTGGGTGGGGCCTACAATTTTTCCCAAGCTAAGCGACAGCCTAGAAAATACATGTCACATAACCGTGTAAATTAAATTGAAAATCTCCCAAATCTAAAACTTCACTACGAAAAATGCAATAAAACACAGTAGAAACTGTGAGTACTTTTTCAACTTATCTTAACATAAAAGTTGGTCAAGACTGGGTGTTGGTAAATTGCGAGATATGAAACGCGAAATGGCTAGAAGAAAATATGAGAGACAGACCTGCGGAATCTCTGGTAAATATCAAGCACTGTGATGTTCAAAAGTGATATATATTATAATATATTATAATATATTATAATATATTTAGTATATTATATTGGGCAACTTCGGTGTTCCACAAAAAAGAAAAAAGTTGAAATCATCAGCATGCCTGTCTAGCAACAGATAAATCTAATATTGTAACTAACAATACAAATGAAATATCTTTGAAGTCTGAATCAAAGTTCATTGTAAATCGGGTGCGTTATAATTTTACTCGGACCTAGCATAAATAGCGAATGGGGGTAAGATGCAAAAGACAAAAATGCTTTGTGAGCAGCATTTTTCACAACCTTCTCTCAATTTACCGCCTTGCATTTTGTGTTTGAAACCTCCTATTTACCAACACCAGCCAAAATTATTCCCAGTTGGCTATCATTTCATCCAAAATAGGGCTGGGAATATTATCTTAGAATTACAAAAGCATATTTAACTGGGAATATACACTTTGATAAAAGTTTTACTCTTTCTAGTTTGGTGAATGGAAAAAAAAGTCACAGAAAAAAAAACACAGAAAAAGGTCAGTTTTTGCTAGAAAAAAAAGTCACAGAAAAAAAGTCACAGAAAAAAAGTCACAAAAATCTTTTAATAAATATTTTTATTTTAATTGTTGAGAATTGTAAAATTTTGGGTGTTTTTTGATGTGGGTTGTTGTTGTTTTTAGTGTTTTTATAAACGATAAAAGATTTGTGGTTCATAACACTAATAAGTAAAAGTACTGTAACCTAATTTACACAGCAACCACAACTTTTGTAATGAATTTAGTTAAATACGCTCTAGAAATGTTAATTATAAACGAATTTTAGGCACATCATTCTGTTTTGATGTTTGTTTTTTTGCCATTCCTTGGTCGGCTTCTCCTCAGTTCGGCCTTGTCCGTCCATATTGTGTGTTGTTGACGTTTTGCGTCAATGATGGCCTTTGTACCGTGTCAGGTTTCTGCTTTGATACTTTTTTTTGTAATGTAATGAGCGTGATAAATTTGGGCAGTATAGGTGGTTGACCTATTGTTGCAATGAGTTGATGGCAGCAAGTAACCACACTACGTCTTAATGTCTTTTTGCATTTAAAGTTAGTATTTAACAAATACTATAAAAGGAGAAATTTTGAACATTTATTAAATTCTATTAAATATTATATGTATAAAAGAATTAAAAAGTAAATACTTCGCACTAAATTTTTACGTGTGTTATAAATTTCACTATACGCATACAACCTACGCACATTTTATTATACTTAATTAATCTAAGTTGATTTGGACTTTCTGAATATTTAATACATAGAAGTATTAACAAATTCATTGCAAATATATATTTGTGACTTTTTTCCTGTGACTTTTTTCTGTGTTTTTTTTTTGTTGTGTTTTTTTTTTCTGTTCCTTTTTTTTGTACAATCTCTAGTTTAGGGCGTTAATTAGTAATTTTTACTACTAGTAGTACTGGCCTATAGGTACCACTATGTGTGTTAGCACTTTTAGCCTTAAATTTAGGGGCTTTTAGCCTCTTAAAGTAGAGTCTTATTAGGCCTTACAGGCCTACTTATTATAATATTTATTATTAGGTAATCTAAAAGATTATAAATCTATCATTTTAGGACCATAAAATTGTCTGGGTCTAATCAAGTAATATGTAATGTGAATGTGGCTAATTAAATTTTAGTAGGCCTATTTTTATACTATTTCAGCTTGATCTCAGATCCAGTGTCATAGCGAGGTCGGGTGTCACCCGGTGCGGCACTTAATGTACATATACCAAATGGCGTAGTCTTTGTTTACTTTTTTACAAACATTTGTTTAGTTAAGAAAATAATTCATCTGGACAAATCTAACCACCTTACATATAAGTAAGTATGTATATATGCATGTGTAGGCCTATATGTATTCACATATATTTTTTTATTTCATTTTTTTACCTCCCCCCATACATGGATTAACACATAAGTTATTACGATTCTCAACCAAACCGTTGACCTCATGCATATTTTGCAACGTTGAGTTAATGTAACTTCCCTCCACTCAACCCCCCCCCCCCCCACCCCCACGGCGATTGCTTTTTACTGTACTCACATAATACTAACAATTTTTTTTTCTATAGTTGATTATAAATACAGTTTGATTTATCATGTTTTCTCTATCATTAGCAGGTACACCCCCCCCCCCCTCCTCCACCCTTGTCGGGATTTGTCAAATTTGCTCTTAAAAGACTATTTAACACTCTAATTAATCACTTAATTAAGTTGAATCATCATTTTTCTCTATATATTTTGCTATTTTTTGCCTTGGTGTCACCTTCTAAATGGTGTCACGCGGTGCGGTCCACACCCCCCGTCCCCTCCTCGCTACACCACTGCTCAGATCCCTAGATAAAATTCCATAATAATGGATCAGCCTGTGCCTATATTAATATCAACCTATTATTTAGCCTATCAAAAATAATTTAAATCTTGCCATGATTAATAAAATTTTAATGATATCCAAAATTGATAACTATACTTATTAGTGTAACTGTAATGACAATAGCCTAAATAAAAAACAAAATTGTAATGCATAGTGCCATACTCAATTTAACATTTAATTGCAATAAATTAATTATCAGTGGCTATAATAAAGTATAATAATACCCAGTCTACAGAGAATTAATTAGCCTAAGTAAAATACTAAGATTGATTAGAGGCCAGAATTATTGCCTTTTCTCAGTCAGAAAGTCATGATTTACCAACGTGGAACGTAATCAAAAGTATAAATACCACCTCACCATTTGCCCTTTACAATTTATCCTCATACCACACACACATTCCAATTGTTTGTTGCACTGTTGTGTTAGTATTTTTCCCAGATGTGTTGAAATAAACAAAATACCTGACTCACAAATGATTTTTAGGCTTTATTATAAATTAGGTTTGTAATAGATTTTTGATTGAATACAGCAGACACTAATAACATATGCATTAAAATTTGGTGGGTTAAATCAATCAGAGTGTTCATGTAATTTTAACTTAATCAATGTGTTCGTAAAGCATTTTTATTCTTTGAACCCTTTTACCAGCCAGCATAGCATGTTGAGCTTTTCTTTAAAAATTAAATACTTGCTGAATCTATTGTTGTAATAGATTGAAATAATTGTGAGGTCAAGGGAACTCACTCTTCTGTATTAGTTATATTTATAATATTGTTATCTTGAGTGATGTCCCTTGTGTACTTCCTTCCGTCCTCTCTGTGTATTATCATCGTGGTAGTTAGACCCATTAAATGTGTTATATACATCCACAGGCTTCTGTCGTCAATCTATTATAACTGGCGACGAAGGATAAACATCTACTAGAAAGAGCACCTACTTACGCAAAAAAGAGGTTTGCTAGAGCTTATTAGCTAATTATTTCTAGAATTATGGCGCTGTATGGCCAAATAAAAGAATTTGATGCGAATGATGAAATCATTCAAGATTACCTAGAGAGGTTAAGCTTTTACCTAGAAGCTAACGACGTGACGATAGAAGCCAAAAAGAGAGCTATTTTGTTAACAGTCATAGGGCCTCAACAATTTAGGCTACTAAAGGACTTATGCGCACCAGCTAGTCTAACTACCAAGAGCTTTAACAAGCTGAGCAAATTGCTAACAGACCACCATGCGCCTACCCCATCAAAGTTTCTATGTCGAGCTAGATTTGACAGTAGGACTCGTCAACCAAACGAGTCAATATCAGAATATGTTGCTGCTTTACGTCATTTAAGTGAATTTTGTGAATTCGGCGATACGCTGTCTGACAGACTATGTGAAAAGTTTGTGACAGGTGTAAACAGCCCTGATATTCAAAGAAAGTTGCTGCTCGAGTCAGATCTAAAATTGGAAAAAGCAATACAACTTGCAATGTCATTCCAGCAGTCATCAGATGCGGCGAAATCTCTTACGCCTTCAGGGATCCATGCAGTAAACAGCAGGTTAGTCAATAAACATCAACCCCATCAGAGCATTCCAACTTATGCTAAACAGCCTGCTCGTTCAAATCCTAGATCTAAATCTAGTAATAATTATCAAAAATGTCATCGATGCAAAGGTCCCCATGCATCTCATCGGTGCAAGTTCAAGTCTGCAACTTGTTATAAGTGCAGTGAGCAAGGTCACATTGCTAAGGCCTGCTTTGCAAAGTCTTCGTCTGTTGCTAAATCTAGCCAGTCAAGACAGTACCGCAACCAAAAGCAGCACTATGTTAACTCTCACCAAGACTACCTAACCCAACCAATGAACCACTCTACCAGTGAAAATGCTCAAACTGATTCGCAGCCGGATTTCAACCTGTTCTCTGTGAAATCAATAAGTCATGCTCCCATCAATGTACCAGTTTATATCAACGGTAAGAGCATCAGCTTCCAACTTGACACTGGAGCATCTCTAACAGTCATAACAAAGAAAGATTTTGACGCTGTCACAGAAGGATCAGTGTCTCTACAGCTGTGTCACAAGTGTCTAACAACATACACTGGTGACAATGTTCCGGTAATAGGAGAGTGTATGGTTCATGTAAGTTATAATGGTCAAAGTGTTAAACTTCCTCTTCTTGTGGTTGAAGGAAATGGACCGCCATTACTAGGTAGGAACTGGTTAAGTGATCTTAAGTTAAATTGGGAGAGTATTTGTTCATTGAAGAATGTAAAAGAATCTAGTCTTACTTCACTAGATAAAGTTATATCTGAAAATAAATGTGTTTTTGGTAATCCAGGATTACTAAATGATAGAACAGTGAAGTTAAGCATTAAAGACACAAATCCAAGATACTGCAAAGCTAGAGTTCCACCTTATGCAATGAGGAACAAAATTGAAAATGAGCTAAGTAGATTGGAATCTAATGGCATTATAAAGAAGGTAGACTATTCCGATTGGGCGTCACCCATTGTGCCAGTGTTAAAGAAGGATGGTTCTATAAGAATTTGTGGAGATTATAAAACTACACTGAATAAGCAAATAGAGCTAAATAGGTACCCTATACCTAACATTGAGGAAATTTCTTTGAATTTGGCAGGAGGAGACAAATTCACTGAATTAGACTTTAGTCATGCTTACACTCAACTAGAACTGCATCCAGATTCAAAAGTCTATACGACAATAAACACACATAAAGGACTCTACCAATATGAAAGACTATGTTTTGGCATATCATCTAGCCCTGGAATTTTCCAAGCTGTCATGGACAGTATTTTTAAGGATATTCCAAATGTTTGTGTGTACTTTGACAATGTGTACATAACTGGTAAGAATGACACTGAACATCTTAAAACACTTGATAAAGTATTGAAAATTGTTGGTGAAAAAGGTTTAAAGATAAACAAAGATAAATGTCAATTCATGTTGACAGAAATTAGTTTTCTTGGTTATATATTGAGCAAGCAAGGTATCAGACCTCAACCTGAGAAAACAAAAGCCATTAAAGAAGCACCCAAACCTGAAAATACCCAACAACTAAGAGCTTTTTTGGGCTTGATAAATTACTATGCAAAGTTCATAGGAAATCTGTCTGGTAAACTATCACCACTGTACAAGCTGCTACAGAAAAATGCAACTTGGCACTGGGGTAAACAACAAGATACTGCTTTTAATACAGCAAAAGAGGCTTTGTCTGCTGACACCTTACTAACTCACTATGACCCAGGGAAAAGACTTATATTAACATGTGATGCTTCACCAGATGGTGTAGGAGCAGTCTTGTCCCACATGGATGAGAAGGGTGACAGACCCATTGCTTTTGCCAGTAGATCTTTGAACCAGGCTGAGAAAAATTATTCTCAGTTAGATAGGGAAGGCTTAGGCATCATTTTTGGTGTTAAGAAATTTCATAAGTTTCTGTTTGGTAGGAAGTTCACCATCTTTACAGATCATAAACCATTGCTAGGTTTATTTGGAGAAAACAAAACCCTACCTGAGCATGCCTCACCAAGAATTCAAAGATGGGCTATCACACTAACTGCATACAATTATGAATTGAAATACAAACCTGGATCTGAGAATAGTGCAGATAGTCTTAGTAGATTACCTTTAAAAAACCAAAGCCTGAGCTATGTACCAGAAGATGTATTTGTTCTCTTCACTATCATGGATAACTCCAATATAAATGTGAATGATATTAAAAGAGAAACACAAAAAGATGAGTGCTTAATAAAAGTATATGAGTACTGTAAGAATGATTGGCCTAAAGAGTCTGTGAATGATGACTTAAGGCCATATACAATAAGAGAAATGGAATTAAGTCTAAAAGATGGAGAAGATGCAGTCCATTATCAGTCAGAGTTGCCTAAACAAAGTATTTGTAACTTAATAAATGATTATGGTGATATGGCAATTTCAAATGTTTTAAAGAAAATACATTAGTAAGAAGGAATGTGATCATCAAACAACTTTGCTAACATCATTAGCACTTACAGAAACTAAAAGGGTAACATCAAAAGAAAAAAAAAAGATTTTTTGCCATTTAATACTTTCAGATGCCAATTCAAAAAGTAAATCATGACAAATCATCCATTGAAAGAGAATTTGCAGTTAATGATAATGTGTATCTAAGAAATTATGGGAGAAAGGAAAAATGGATACCAGGTCAAATTGTTCAATGTGCAGGACCTGTGTCTTATAAAGTTAAAAATAACTTGTGCAGATAATAAGTGTGAATCTGTCAATCCCACCAAATCTGAACAGTTCACACCAACTCAGTTTGTTCCACAACCAAGTTCTGTTGATATGAGTGAACCAAGTTGTCTGGAGTCAGAAAATGTAAATTCTGGAGTTAATGATTTAAATCCTAGACCTCCTGAGATAGAGAATCCAGATGGCCAGAATCTTGAGTCACCAAATCAGAGGCCACTGAGAAGGTCAAGCAGGACAATCAAAGTCCCAAATAAGTTAGACCTATGATTCTAAAGGTCAAAAGGACTTTGACATTATTGTTTTGTATTTTGATTATGTTGTAGCATATTGTGCATTGTTTGTAAGGATGTAATCTACCATAGTGTTCATGTTACAATATAATTGGTGATTTTAGGATACTATCAATTGTTCTATTGAGAGATGTGTTATTGTGTTCTAAGGGTAAAGGGATGTAATAGATTGAAATAATTGTGAGGTCAAGGGAACTCACTCTTCTGTATTAGTTATATTTATAATATTGTTATCTTGAGTGATGTCCCTTGTGTACTTCCTTCCGTCCTCTCTGTGTATTACCATCGTGCTGTAGTTAGACCCATTAAATGTGTTATATACAACCACAGGCTTCTGTCGTCAATCTATTATAATTGTAATTGTAAACCTATTGTATTTGGTTTGATAGAGCCCAACATGCTACAGAACCTTTGCATTTTCTATTACTTACAAAGTGTTTAAATTTCACCCTGTTCTTATTCTTTTATTTAATTTAAGCACGCTGTTAGATTAAAAAAAAATTTCTTCATTTGCTGTATAAAATACAAATATTGTATTCAACTTATTATTCTGGTTTTTTTTTCAAGCTAGCAGAAAAACATTCAAATAACAATGAGCTCAGAATCAAATGACCAGAACAAGCTTTCTTCTGTGGCATCACCTGGTGAGTACTTTCTTGTTTTAAAACTTAATGAAAGCAACATACAATATAACAGTGGGATGGCATAGTCAATGGTAAAGCATATGACTGGTTCAAGTCATTAGAATGTCCCTGATTCCACCACACTCCCAATTGAAAAGGTAATGACGTCTGGGCAGGTGCTCCCCATATTACCTCTTCCTATGCAGAGCTCATAGAAACAGGTGAACTCTACTTCACTTGCTCCATGTACTATCATGTTTGTAAGGTAACTTAACTTTTACAAATACGATTAGCATTTATACATTGTAATGTAACAGTGCTCTCTTGTGGCTTGTAGGATGGTGTTGTAGGCAGGCCATTGTCAATCTGAAAGTCTTGATTAGCTAAAGTTTAAGTATCCATTTAATCTTGTTGTCTATATGACTGAGTTGAGTTGCTTACAGAACCCAACTAGTCAAGCTGGATATGTGATTTAATAAAGGAAAGTAAACAAAAGTAGGTTTTGTACCTGGACTCAGAATCTCTTCATATATAATGGACATCACCCATATAGGCAATCAGGTCCTACATGGATACTTTGAACTATTTGAATATTTATTTATTTGTCCAGTTAAAATTTAAAAGAGCGATTTTTGGGTTAAGAAAAAAACAAAATATTAAGAGAGAAAAATAACAATGACTTAACTTGATTTGAGAGAAATAGGTTTGAAGTTTTCAAAGAATGATTTAATGATAAACAGAACTTTTAGAATTTTTGCTATTATTCTGTATTTTGACCAAAACTGATTTAGTCATTTTTGACTTTCCACAGCTGACATATACCTGCCTCTTCCAGTATTTCAGTGCTAATGTTATCTGATGTTATTGTTTACTATTGTCAGTTCCGCAAGTAAAGCATCATGCTGCAGGCAACCTTACAGGTGAACTGCGCAAGGTGAAAGATTTGGCTGCAGACTATCACAACTTAACTATGAAGTGGAACAATCTCAACTCTCAGGGCATGGACATCATCACTAAAATAGCAAATATTAAAATTGACAAAGTGTATGTTCTCTAAATGTTATCTGATCAAAACATAATTGTCCCTATATTATAAAATAATAAAATACAGCAGTTTAAAAGATAAAAATATTTCAAATCTACAGTAAAATAACTTTGACATAGATTTAACTATTTACACAGGTGAAACCTTTTATATTATTTTACAAATACAGATAATCACAATACAATTTTAATAAACTTTTTTGTACAACTATCATATTTTACATAAAAATTATGTGCAAAATGCTGGACAAACCATATAATTAAATCTTGCCCAATTTCTCTCCAGTTTTAATGTTGAAAAAGACCCTGACAGTGAAACACACACCGACCTACCTCTAGAACTAAATCCACTTTGTGATGCTTTGTCTGACATTGTTGATGCCATGGTATGTTTTGTTATCAGTTATATAGAACACAAGAAGTCCAGTAGCAGTTTGTTTAGATGCTTTCTGTTGCATAATGTTGAAGTGAAATTTGTGTTAATTCCCTTTGTAAAATTATGCAAAAACAATAATTGGCAACACTGTGTAAATGCGTGGTGCACTGTTCACTCATCTCCTCTGGTATTTAGTATAAACGAGCACCTGTTTTCACAATACACAATTATAAACAAGCATTTATTTAATTCTACAATGCACAACCATAAACAGGCAGTTATTGTTATATTATACAACTATAAACAAGCATTTAATTTTACAATATACAACAATAAACAAGTATATAATTTTACACTATAAAACTATAAACTATAAACAAGCATTTATTTTATATTATACAACTATAAACAATCATATAATTTTACCTTACAAAACAATAAATTAGCAGTTATTTTTACAATATATGACTATAAACAAGTATTTAATTTTACAATATACAACAATAAACAAGTATATAATTTTACACTATTCAAATATCAACAAGACTATGCTTTCACAGAGTCGAGTGGAATCCAAACTTGAACACAAGGCTAAGATAGCAGAGGGCTTGCTGTCCCTACAGAAATACCAGAGATCTGCTTCCTCCAGTCCTGTCCTGTTCTCTACTATGACCCTAGAGGACGTAGGTAGGGATACCAAAATGATGCCGAGCATTTTTATCATTACTTGAGGTTTTTTGGGGGTAGGGAGGTAATAACTTCAGAACAGTTGATACCGTTGTTGCATTTATCTGTCCACCTATTTGATGGATCCTGTTTATGTGACATTGGTGGTCACGGTGTCAACACCCCCCACCTCTTAATCTATCATTATGGCTTTGAAAGATGTTTTATTTTTTTTACTATTCGTTAATACAGTTTTTTAATCCTCTTTCTTTAAAAAAAATGGCTTGCAAATATGTATTAGTATTAGGTTCATAATAAGGGATTATTGATCATTGTATTAAATTAAATAAGTATTAAGTTAATACAATGTACTTGCTTTTACTTACATTATGTTGATGATAATTCACATGTAAATTAATATTATTCATGTAATACCCTTTTGTTTAAAGTGAACACTGTGAAGGAAATCCACCAATACTTTGGCCAGGAGTTGAAGTTGAAGAGAGAACTATGCAGGCAGTTGGCCCATGCTGGTTCCAGGGATGTCATGATGTTCTACAGCACCTGCTGGCTGCATCAACCTTACCTGCAGGCAGGTTGGGAGGATCAGCTGCAGGCCCTGCTCTCAGAGACTGGACATGTCTAGTGAGGTATCTTAGACCTAATGGTCAGTGTTGGGAGGATCTGTTACAAGACCTGCTCTCAGAGACTGGGCATGTCTAGTGAGGTATCTTAGACCTAATGGTCAGTGCTGGGATCTGTTACAAGACCTGCTCTCAGAGACTGGACATGTCTAGTGAGGTAACTTAGACCTAATGGTCAGTGTTGGGAGGATCTGTTACAAGACCTGCTCTCAGAGACTGGGCATGTCTAGTGAGGTATCTTAGACCTAATGGTCAGTGCTGGGATCTGTTACAAGACCTGCTCTCAGAGACTGGACATGTCTAGTGAGGTATCTTAGACCTAATGGTCAGTGCTGGGATCTGTTACAAGACCTGCTCTCAGAGACTGGACATGTCTAGTGAGGTATCTTAGACCTAATGGTCAGTGGTGGGAGGATCTGTTACAAGACCTGCTCTCAGAGACTGGGCATGTCTAGTGAGGTATCTTAGACCTAATGGTCAGTGCTGGGATCTGTTACAAGACCTGCTCTCAGAGACTGGACATGTCTAGTGAGGTATCTTAGACCTAATGGTCAGTGCTGGGATCTGTTACAAGACCTGCTCTCAGAGACTGGACATGTCTAGTGAGGTATCTTAGACCTAATGGTCAGTGTTGGGAGGATCTGTTACAAGACCTGCTCTCAGAGACTGGACATGTCTAGTGAGGTATCTTAGACCTAAATGGTCAGTGATATGGTCAGTGCTGGATCTGTTACAAGACCTGCTCTCAGAGACTAGACATGTCTAGTGAGGTATCTTAGACCTAATGGTCAGTGCTGGGATCTGTTACAAGACCTGCTCTCAGAGACTGGACATGTCTAGTGAGGTATCTTAGACCTAATGGTCAGTGATATGGTCAGTGCTGGATCTGTTACAAGACCTGCTCTCAGAGACTAGACATGTCTAGTGAGGTATCTTAGACCTAAATGGTCAGTGATATGGTCAGTGCTGGATCTGTTACAAGACCTGCTCTCAGAGACTAGACATGTCTAGTGAGGTATCTTAGACCTAATGGTCAGTGCTGGGATCTGTTACAAGACCTGCTCTCAGAGACTGGACATGTCTAGTGAGGTATCTTAGACCTAATGGTCAGTGCTGGGATCTGTTACAAGACCTGCTCTCAGAGACTGGACATGTCTAGTGAGGTATCTTAGACCTAATGGTCAGTGTTGGGAGGATCTGTTACAAGACCTGCTCTCAGAGACTGGACATGTCTAGTGAGGTATCTTAGACCTAAATGGTCAGTGATATGGTCAGTGCTGGATCTGTTACAAGACCTGCTCTCAGAGACTGGACATGTCTAGTGAGGTATCTTAGACCTAATGGTCAGTGCTGGGATCTGTTACAAGACCTGCTCTCAGAGACTGGACATGTCTAGTGAGGTATCTTAGACCTAATGGTCAGTGATATGGTCAGTGCTGGATCTGTTACAAGACCTACTCTCAGAGACTGGGCATGTCTAGTGAGGTATCTTAGACCTAATGGTCAGTGCTGGATCTGTTACAAGACCTGCTCTCAGAGACTGGACATGTCTAGTGAGGTATCTTAGACCTAATGGTCAGTGCTGGGAGGATCTGTTACAAGACCTGCTCTCAGAGACTGGGCATGTCTAGTGAGGTATCTTAGACCTAATGGTCAGTGCTGGGATCTGTTACAAGACCTACTCTCAGAGACTGGACATGTCTAGTGAGGTATCTTAGACCTAATGGTCAGTGCTGGGATCTGTTACAAGACCTGCTCTCAGAGACTGGACATGTCTAGTGAGGTATCTTAGACCTAATGGTCAGTGTTGGGAGGATCTGTTACAAGACCTGCTCTCAGAGACTGGACATGTCTAGTGAGGTATCTTAGACCTAAATGGTCAGTGATATGGTCAGTGCTGGGATCTGTTACAAGACCTACTCTCAGAGACTAGACATGTCTAGTGATGTATCTTAGACCTAATGGTCAGTGCTGGGATCTGTTACAAGACCTGCTCTCAGAGACTGGGCATGTCTAGTGAGGTATCTTAGACCTAATGGTCAGTGCTGGGATCTGTTACAAGACCTGCTCTCAGAGACTGGACATGTCTAGTGAGGTATCTTAGACCTAATGGTCAGTGCTGGGATCTGTTACAAGACCTGCTCTCAGAGACTGGACATGTCTAGTGAGGTATCTTAGACCTAATGGTCAGTGTTGGGAGGATCTGTTACAAGACCTGCTCTCAGAGACTGGACATGTCTAGTGAGGTATCTTAGACCTAAATGGTCAGTGATATGGTCAGTGCTGGGATCTGTTACAAGACCTACTCTCAGAGACTAGACATGTCTAGTGATGTATCTTAGACCTAATGGTCAGTGCTGGGATCTGTTACAAGACCTGCTCTCAGAGACTGGGCATGTCTAGTGAGGTATCTTAGACCTAATGGTCAGTGCTGGGATCTGTTACAAGACCTGCTCTCAGAGACTAGACATGTCTAGTGAGGTATCTTAGACCTAATGGTCAGTGCTGGGATCTGTTACAAGACCTGCTCTCAGAGACTAGACATGTCTAGTGAGGTATCTTAGACCTAATGGTCAGTGATATGGTCAGTGCTGGGATCTGTTACAAGACCTACTCTCAGAGACTAGACATGTCTAGTGAGGTATCTTAGACCTAATGGTCAGTGCTGGGATCTGTTACAAGACCTGCTCTCAGAGACTGGACATGTCTAGTGAGGTATCTTAGACCTAATGGTCAGTGCTGGGAGGATCTGTTACAAGACCTGCTCTCAGAGACTGGACATGTCTAGTGAGGTATCTTAGACCTAATGGTCAGTGCTGGGATCTGTTACAAGACCTGCTCTCAGAGACTGGACATGTCTAGTGAGGTATCTTAGACCTAATGGTCAGTGCTGGGATCTGTTACAAGACCTGCTCTCAGAGACTGGACATGTCTAGTGAGGTATCTTAGACCTAATGGTCAGTGATATGGTCAGTGCTGGGATCTGTTACAAGACCTGCTCTCAGAGACTGGACATGTCTAGTGAGGTATCTTAGACCTAATGGTCAGTGCTGGGATCTGTTACAAGACCTGCTCTCAGAGACTGGACATGTCTAGTGAGGTATCTTAGACCTAAATGGTCAGTGATATGGTCAGTGCTGGGATCTGTTACAAGACCTGCTCTTAGAGACTGGACATGTCTAGTGAGGTGTCTTAGACCTAAAGGTCAGTGATATGGTCAGTGCTGGGATCTGTTACAAGACCTGCTCTCAGAGACTGGACATGTCTAGTGAGGTATCTTAGACCTAATGGTCAGTGCTGGGATCTGTTACAAGACCTGCTCTCAGAGACTGGACATGTCTAGTGAGGTATCTTAGACCTAATGGTCAGTGTTGGGAGGATCTGTTACAAGACCTGCTCTCAGAGACTGGACATGTCTAGTGAGGTATCTTAGACCTAAATGGTCAGTGATATGGTCAGTGCTGGATCTGTTACAAGACCTGCTCTCAGAGACTGGACATGTCTAGTGAGGTATCTTAGACCTAATGGTCAGTGCTGGGATCTGTTACAAGACCTGCTCTCAGAGACTGGGCATGTCTAGTGAGGTATCTTAGACCTAATGGTCAGTGCTGGGATCTGTTACAAGACCTGCTCTCAGAGACTGGACATGTCTAGTGAGGTATCTTAGACCTAATGGTCAGTGATATGGTCAGTGCTGGGATCTGTTACAAGACCTGCTCTCAGAGACTGGGCATGTCTAGTGAGGTATCTTAGACCTAATGGTCAGTGCTGGGATCTGTTACAAGACCTGCTCTCAGAGACTGGACATGTCTAGTGAGGTATCTTAGACCTAATGGTCAGTGATATGGTCAGTGCTGGGATCTGTTACAAGACCTGCTCTCAGAGACTGGACATGTCTAGTGAGGTATCTTAGACCTAATGGTCAGTGCTGGGATCTGTTACAAGACCTGCTCTCAGAGACTGGACATGTCTAGTGATGTATCTTAGACCTAATGGTCAGTGATATGGTCAGTGCTGGGATCTGTTACAAGACCTGCTCTCAGAGACTGGACATGTCTAGTGAGGTATCTTAGACCTAATGGTCAGTGCTGGGATCTGTTACAAGACCTGCTCTCAGAGACTGGACATGTCTAGTGAGGTATCTTAGACCTAAATGGTCAGTGATATGGTCAGTGCTGGGATCTGTTACAAGACCTGCTCTCAGAGACTGGACATGTCTAGTGAGGTATCTTAGACCTAATGGTCAGTGCTGGGATCTGTTACAAGACCTGCTCTCAGAGACTGGACATGTCTAGTGAGGTATCTTAGACCTAATGGTCAGTGATATGGTCAGTGCTGGGATCTGTTACAAGACCTACTCTCAGAGACTGGACATGTCTAGTGAGGTGTCTTAGACCTAATGGTCAGTGCTGGGATCTGTTACAAGACCTGCTCTCAGAGACTGGACATGTCTAGTGAGGTATCTTAGACCTAATGGTCAGTGATATGGTCAGTGCTGGGATCTGTTACAAGACCTGCTCTCAGAGACTGGACATGTCTAGTGAGGTATCTTATACCTAATGGTCAGTGATAAAGTCAGTGCTGGGATCTGTTACAAGACCTGCTCTCAGAGACTAGACATGTCTAGTGAGGTATCTTAGACCTAATGGTCAGTGCTGGGATCTGTTACAAGACCTGCTCTCAGAGACTAGACATGTCTAGCGAGGTATCTTAGACCTAATGGTCAGTGCTGGGATCTGTTACAAGACCTGCTCTCAGAGACTAGACATGTCTAGTGAGGTATCTTAGACCTAATGGTCAGTGATATGGTCAGTGCTGGGATCTGTTACAAGACCTACTCTCAGAGACTAGACATGTCTAGTGAGGTATCTTAGACCTAATGGTCAGTGCTGGATCTGTTACAAGACCTGCTCTCAGAGACTGGACATGTCTAGTGAGGTATCTTAGACCTAATTGTCAGTGCTGGGAGGATCTGTTACAAAACCTGCTCTCAGAGACTGGACATGTCTAGTGAGGTATCTTAGACCTAATGGTCAGTGCTGGGATCTGTTACAAGACCTGCTCTCAGAGACTGGACATGTCTAGTGAGGTATCTTAGACCTAATGGTCAGTGATATGGTCAGTGCTGGGATCTGTTACAAGACCTGCTCTCAGAGACTAGACATGTCTAGTGAGGTATCTTAGACCTAATGGTCAGTGATATGGTCAGTGCTGGGATCTGTTACAAGACCTGCTCTCAGAGACTGGACATGTCTAGTGAGGTATCTTAGACCTAATGGTCAGTGATATGGTCAGTGCTGGGAGGATCTGTTACAAGACCTGCTCTCTGAGACTGGACATGTCTAGTGAGGTATCTTAGACCTAATGGTCAGTGATATGGTCAGTGCTGGGAGGATCTGTTACAAGACCTGCTCTCAGAGACTGGACATGTCTAGTGAGGTATCTTAGACCTAGTGGTCAGTGATATGGTCAGTGCTGGGATTTGTTACAAGACCTGCTCTCAGAGACTGGACATGTCTAGTGAGGTGTCTTAGACCTAATGGTCAGTGCTGGGAGGATCTGTTACAAGATCTGCTGTCAGAGACTGGACATGTCTAGTGAGGTGTCTTAGACCTAATGGTCAGTGCTGGGAGAATCTGATACAAGACCTGCTCTCAGAGACTGGACATGTCTAGTGAGGTATCTTAGACCTAATGGTCAGTGCTGGGAGGATCTACTACAAGCCCTACTCTCCTAAACTGGACAAGTTCAGTGAGAAAAAAATGCACTAGATGACCTGGGCAGTATACATATGGGGGGACACCTGTTAAATAAGAACAAATTTAGCCCTATCACCTGCCAATGTAAATAATATGATTAAATAAAATGCTGTTTTGATTGTATTCAACAAAGTACAAACATTGAGTTATTTATTTTTGTGGCAGACACACAAAATCCTGGAAGTTAGAATAAACCCAAATGGACTGGCTGTATTGTACTATAGAATTTAAACAGTAACACACTGTCTTATTTGACAAAGAGATAAATTTTTTCAGTCAACACCTCTTAGATATGTGATAAATACTAGGATAGCTTGTTAATATATTTGTTTTGTTCTTGAATTTTTTCTGCATTCTAGTTCTTATGAATAGTTGGGCTTTTGCTGATTGTGCTTGTAAAATTTTCACAATTACATATCGGGTGGGCTTAGGAGTTTAAAAAATGTTTCGTTACACTGTAGTAGTGATGGTGCATTTGACTGCTAACCATAAGGCTAGAGTCCATACAATGCCCTGAGTGAACCCTATTTCACCTTCCCAGTGAACATTTGAAAGGGTACTTTTAATACTATAGTTTTAGACAGAACAGACAAAATATATATTTGATTTTTTCAAGTTTATGTATAACATGAAAAAATGATAATTGTTAAAATGATCAGTTCCTAATCCCGGCCCTCAGAAATTTCATCAATCACCACATATTTGTTAATTATAACAATAATTATAAATAAAAACACAATGAGATAGAGATATTTCTTTAATCATTTTTTGTGCATCAAAGAATGAATCTGTAGTGAATGTATATGAATGATGATGAACATTGAAAAAGCCGAACTAAAATTGGATAACTAACAACATGTATATCTGTATAGATTAGTTGTAACATCAACTACTAGACCAATACAACAAATAAATAACATGCTATTACAAGCAAACTCATCTTGTACTACTATATAACCTTACCAAATATGTCTTGAAACATCTGCTAGAGAATGCCTACCCTAACTATTTAATACAAACCGATTACTACATAAATTTAAGGTATGTCCTAGGACTGAAAGCTATGAAATGTTGCTAGTTTTTTGTCCTGTTACTAATAAATATTGTTTATTTTACTTAGATGGGGAAAGTACGACTTGCATCAAATTGTATGAGGAAAAAATTTGCATTGGGTTTAAAAGTCATGAAGCCTATATTCCCCCCTCTCTCTCTCTGAAAACCTATTATTATTTATTTATTAAACAAACATATTAATTATAGTTATGCACTCCATTATAACTAGCAAACCAGAGACTGTAAAATCCTTTAAAGTATTCACCATGAAGTGGGTAACTAGAATTTAGAAAAATGCATCCAAATGATATCTGATCACAATAGGGTATAGATCAACAGGTCCAACACTACATAAAATTATTTTCATGCCTACCATTCATCCCACCCTATACAGCACACATTAATTTACAATCCTCTCAAAAACTTTATAACCTATTTTAAATACATATATTTACCTGACACTGAACAGTGTCTGTTTGATGTTCATTATGTGAAAGACAAATTTTGCAAAAATTGATGTAAAAAAATTAACAAAACTGAGTTATTGGAATCTCTAAAAAAAAAAAAAAAAAAGCTATGACAAAACTTTGACACTGTGGGATCTAACAATAATCTGAATTTGAATTTAAAATGGTATAGAAAATTTGTATTATATAATTTGAGAAACTAATTTAAACAGTATATATGCAAGAGATAAAAGATTTATTGCTGGGGAGAGGAAGACCACTTAGCAGTAGCTAATCTAATAGGATGTATCCATCACATAGAACAACAGCTCACCAACCAGCTGACAATGAACATTTCGTGGCTGTATAACCAACACTCCATAAAGGTACAGACAAGAACAGCAACTTAAAAAACACATTAACTTCACAACCTTCAGTAGAAACAACCTCTTCAACAGCTCCAGGGCACACCATCTTCTGGTGGCAGAAGTGTTATCTACAGAACACATTAAACTACAGCTGAGTTGGTTTTGTAAGGGTGTGGGGGGTCTATAAAACATTACCAACATTTTCCCCTGCTAGAGGGTCTATGGACCCTGATAACAAGGCTTGCAATGTCTCCAATGGTAGCGGCAAGCCCTGGGCACCCTGCAGCTGGTAGGTGTTGCCGTTAGAGCTCTGGATAATGAAGGTGCCGTCTTCAGTCTGGTAGATGCTGGAACCTTCCGTCAAGAAAAGCTGACCGTCCTCCTCGTCGGGGAGGGTGTCGCCCATGACCATATCCCGAGAGTTCAACATCTGGCCGTCCACCTCGGCGCCAGTTAAATGCTGGGAGAGCAGGGTCATGGCGTCGTCCTGCTGGTCATCGGCCTGGAGGATGGGAGAGATGCCGTTGAGATGGACAGAGCTGTCAGTGTTTGGGTCAGTGAACTGTAAACCCGAAATGTCCGCCATGGTCATGGATGTACTGGTCTCCCCCTTGAGGTCTTGACCATTGAGGACACCATTAGAGCTGAGGTTGTATGTTTGGGTTTGGAGTGAGTTGAGGACATCTTTACAGGTGGAGGTGAGGACTGTGGTTGAAGGTTTGGACATGATGAAGTCTGACACGGACGTTGAGAACGTCATGTCAGATAAAATTTTCATGTTGTCTTTCATCTTCAAGGATGAAGAGGTAGATGAAAAGTCTGAAGAGCTGCCATTGATGTAGGAAATTCCTTCCAAACCATTCAGGTTGCCATTGATGGTGAAACTCTGGGAATCAGATGTCACCACTGTGGTTATCTCCCCTGAAGGGTCAGCTGCCTGGGAGTGGGTGAAGTGGTCCATGTCGGATACCATACAATTAGCTGCCATGTCCACAGCACTGCCAAGCCCAACGCCCGTGGACAAGCCGCCGTTTAAACTGTCTGTTGATGTGTTCAAAGGACCCAGGTCGTCAGTGAACTCCATAGAACCCAGGGCTTCAATGTCATCCATGTCTGGCACTAGCACCTGGGAGCCTGCCTTGCTAGGGCTGGCGGTGAACTGTTGACCCGAGGGTGGGGTCACCAGCGACCTGCTGTTCCCTAGCTTGGAACTCTTGTCTGAATGATTGGAACTGACTGTGATGCACCCAGTTCTGGCAGGTATGGTCTGGTACACTGAGTTGACCTCAGATAATATTTTAATGCTGCTGCGCCCATTAGCATGGGGTGTGGTGGCCACAGGGGGTGAGGTGGTTTCATGAAACAGCTGCCTCGAGACCTTGACCTCAGTCGGCTTGGTGGAGCTGAGCAGGGACCGTGAGCTGCTCAAGGTCGTGGAGGCGGAGCTGGACGGGAAACCAGCTGTCACTGAAACTACATGCGGCTTTAGCGTAGACGGCTGGCTGCTGAGCAGGAGCCGCGTCTGCTGGGGCGGCTGCCTGACGACAACCTTGTGAGCCGTGTTCTGAGCCGCTGCCAGCAGAAGCGTGTTGGGCTGCTGAGCACTGGCTAACGCTGTTGTAGGATTGTTTGGTGCGGCCACCACAACCTTCTGCTGGGTAGCAGTGGAGGTGCTGGTGCTGAGGATGTAAGGGATGGTCTGGCTGGAGGACACAATGGGCTGGCTGATGATGACTGGTACTGGCGGCACTTTGTTGCCTCTGGGTGACGGCTGGGGCTTGGACCCTGCCAGGATGTACGACACAGTCTGTGGCTTGGTGGTCGGACAAGCTATATGAACATAAGGCGATCTAACAGTAACAGTGGTGGGGGTGGGCTTGATGGACGAGGACGTCAAGACCTGGGCGACGGACGGAGATGAAGAGGTGATGGTGGATGAGGTCACTGTGGATGAGGGCACCCTGATCTGCACTGACTGCGGAGATGTTGCTGACGAGGCTGACAAGGAGGAGATGGATGAGAGGGAGGAGTCAGATCTGGCGTAGTTGACCTTCTCGTCCTCTGAGAAGGGGAGGCGTGCGGTCACTGTGAAAGTACTGGTGTTGATTGGCAGAGTTGAAATAGTGGACAAACGAGGTTTTTTGGCGGCACTTTCTGCAGCACTGGGAGAAAACTGTGAACGCTTGACAGGCACTGATTCCACTTCTTCCTTGATGGTTTTGTTGGTTGTCATGGTGATGGCTGCAGCTGACAGCTTGTTGTGAAGGGATGAGAAGGAGTTGCTGTCACCTGGTGGCATCTCCTTGACCTGATAGGTGACGGTGTCAAGGTCAAGACATGTGGCGAGGCTTGCATCAGACACCTGCAGGTAGAAAGTGGTGTAGTTTTGTACTAGAACAACTCAAATTTTAACAACCACACACTTATTTTCTTAAATATTACAATTAAGAATGAGGTTTACCCTTACTAATACCCAAAAAGAAGAAAATAAAATGATTAGACACAATTTTCATAATTATATATAAAGGCATGGGCTCCTTAAATATGTAAAAAAAAAATTACTAATTAGTAGGAACATCTTTTATTATAATAGGCCAACAAATTATTATCTAGATGCCAAGTACAGAAGAATAATATAATCCACTCATTTATAAACACACAGGTACTCAAATGCTGTTGTAAGGAGGATAGTAATAATATTTATTTGTAACTGAATAACCACAATAAAACTGTATCTGTGATCTAAGCTTTTATTTAGTTGTGCATTATATCATTAGAATAAAACTTTTATTTTCTAACTTTAGCACACATATAAAAGCTAGCAAATTTATATTAAAATTTAATTAAACTTTTTAGTATTAAGAAAAATCACAGACCAATTGATTGCACAGAATGTGTATGTAAATGTGTAGTGCTGTTAGTAGGCCTACTTTATTTAGCCCATTTAATTAATTAAAAAAAAAAAGTAAACTTCTAAAAATATGAAAGTTGTCATTACAGCTTGCCCTTATGTTTCAAGTTTGAACCATTGGTTATAGATGTGGGTGAAATTTCTTTATCAAATTTCCATCTATGATGCACAAAGCATTAAGCACAACATAGAAAAATAAAGTTTAAAAAAAAAAAGCTTATGAAACCCTATGCAGTTACTTTTCATATCCCCCATGAAGTTACTAATGGGTTACATTCTATAGACCCCCTCATCTGTATCTCCAACAGGTTATTCTAACGTTCCTCAATGTTTATACACTACTGTATTTTAGTATAGCTCTCCCTCAATGTTTATACACTACTGTATTTTAGTATAGCTCTCCCTCACTGTTTATACACTACTGTATTTTAGTATAGCTCTCCCTCACTGTTTATACACTACTGTATTTTAGTATAGCTCTCCCTCAATGTTTATACACTACTGTATTTTAGTATAGCTCTCCCTCACTGTTTATACACTACTGTATTTTAGTATAGCTCTCCCTCAATGTTTATACACTACTGTATTTTAGTATAGCTCTCCCTCACTGTTTATACACTACTGTATTTTAGTATAGCTCTCCCTCACTGTTTATACACTACTGTATTTTAGTATAGCTCTCCCTCACTGTTTATACACTACTGTATTTTAGTATAGCTCTCCCTCAATGTTTATACACTACTGTATTTTAGTATAGCTCTCCCTCAATGTTTATACACTACTGTATTTTAGTATAGCTCTCCCTCACTGTTTATACACTACTGTATTTTAGTATAGCTCTCCCTCACTGTTTATACACTACTGTATTTTAGTATAGCTCTCCCTCACTGTTTATACACTACTGTATTTTAGTATAGCTCTCCCTCAATGTTTATACACTACTGCATTTTAGTATAGCTCTCCCTCACTGTTTATACACTACTGTATTTTAGTATAGCTCTCCCTCACTGTTTATACACTACTGTATTTTAGTATAGCTCTCCCTCACTGTTTATACACTACTGTATTTTAGTATAGCTCTCCCTCACTGTTTATACACTACTGTATTTTAGTATAGCTCTCCCTCACTGTTTATACACTACTGTATTTTAGTATAGCTCTCCCTCACTGTTTATACACTACTGTATTTTAGTATAGCTCTCCCTCACTGTTTATACACTACTGTATTTTAGTATAGCTCTCCCTCACTGTTTATACACTACTGTATTTTAGTATAGCTCTCCCTCACTGTTTATACACTACTGTATTTTAGTATAGCTCTCCCTCAATGTTTATACACTACTGTATTTTAGTATAGCTCTCCCTCACTGTTTATACACTACTGTATTTTAGTATAGCTCTCCCTCACTGTTTATACACTACTGTATTTTAGTATAGCTCTCCCTCACTGTTTATACACTACTGTATTTTAGTATAGCTCTCCCTCACTGTTTATACACTACTGTATTTTAGTATAGCTCTCCCTCACTGTTTATACACTACTGTATTTTAGTATAGCTCTCCCTCACTGTTTATACACTACTGTATTTTAGTATAGCTCTCCCTCAATGTTTATACACTACTGTATTTTAGTATAGCTCTCCCTCACTGTTTATACACTACTGTATTTTAGTATAGCTCTCCCTCACTGTTTATACACTACTGTATTTTAGTATAGCTCTCCCTCACTGTTTATACACTACTGTATTTTAGTATAGCTCTCCCTCACTGTTTATACACTACTGTATTTTAGTATAGCTCTCCCTCACTGTTTATACACTACTGTATTTTAGTATAGCTCTCCCTCACTGTTTATACACTACTGTATTTTAGTATAGCTCTCCCTCACTGTTTATACACTACTGTATTTTAGTATAGCTCTCCCTCACTGTTTATACACTACTGTATTTTAGTATAGCTCTCCCTCACTGTTTATACACTACTGTATTTTAGTATAGCTCTCCCTCAATGTTTATACACTACTGTATTTTAGTATAGCTCTCCCTCAATGTTTATACACTACTGTATTTTAGTATAGCTCTCCCTCAATGTTTATACACTACTGTATTTTAGTATAGCTCTCCCTCAATGTTTATACACTACTGTATTTTAGTATAGCTCTCCCTCACTGTTTATACACTACTGTATTTTAGTATAGCTCTCCCTCAATGTTTATACACTACTGTATTTTAGTATAGCTCTCCCTCAATGTTTATACACTACTGTATTTTAGTATAGCTCTCCCTCACTGTTTATACACTACTGTATTTTAGTATAGCTCTCCCTCAATGTTTATACACTACTGTATTTTAGTATAGCTCTCCCTCACTGTTTATACACTACTGTATTTTAGTATAGCTCTCCCTCACTGTTTATACACTACTGTATTTTAGTATAGCTCTCCCTCAATGTTTATACACTACTGTATTTTAGTATAGCTCTCCCTCACTGTTTATACACTACTGTATTTTAGTATAGCTCTCCCTCACTGTTTATACACTACTGTATTTTAGTATAGCTCTCCCTCACTGTTTATACACTACTGTATTTTAGTATAGCTCTCCCTCACTGTTTATACACTACTGTATTTTAGTATAGCTCTCCCTCAATGTTTATACACTACTGTATTTTAGTATAGCTCTCCCTCAATGTTTATACACTACTGTATTTTAGTATAGCTCTCCCTCACTGTTTATACACTACTGTATTTTAGTATAGCTCTCCCTCACTGGTTATACACTACTGTATTTTAGTATAGCTCTCCCTCACTGTTTATACACTACTGTATTTTAGTATAGCTCTCCCTCACTGTTTATACACTACTGTATTTTAGTATAGCTCTCCCTCAATGTTTATACACTACTGTATTTTAGTATAGCTCTCCCTCACTGTTTATACACTACTGTATTTTAGTATAGCTCTCCCTCACTGTTTATACACTACTGTATTTTAGTATAGCTCTCCCTCAATGTTTATACACTACTGTATTTTAGTATAGCTCTCCCTCAATGTTTATACACTACTGTATTTTAGTATAGCTCTCCCTCAATGTTTATACACTACTGTATTTTAGTATAGCTCTCCCTCAATGTTTATACACTACTGTATTTTAGTATAGCTCTCCCTCACTGTTTATACACTACTGTATTTTAGTATAGCTCTCCCTCACTGTTTATACACTACTGTATTTTAGTATAGCTCTCCCTCAATGTTTATACACTACTGTATTTTAGTATAGCTCAATCCCAGGTAAATCCTCCCCACCAGACAATAGCCAGGGTCTCACCTTGATCATCTTACACTGTAGGTTGTCATCCACCAACTCCTCCTGGCTCAGTGGCTTCATGTAGTCTGTGCAGGCTTTCTTCACATGCTGTCTCAGGGCTTCAAACTCATGGTAGATCACATCAACCTGGACACATGGAGCATATACATTCAGGACACATGGAGCATATACATTCAGGACACACATGGAGCATATACATTCAGGACACACATGGAGCATATACATTCAGGACACACATGGAGCATATACATTCAGGACACACATGCCACATATACATTCAGGACACATGGAGCATATACATTCAGTAATGGACCAAACTCATGGTAGATCACATCAACCTGGACACACATGGAGCATATACATTCAGGACACACATGGAGCATATACATTCAGGACACACATGAAGCATATACATTCAGTAATGGACCAAACTCATGGTAGATCACATCAACCTGGACACACATGGAGCATATACATTCAGGACACACATGGAGCATATACATTCAGGACACATGGAGCATATACATTCAGTAATGGACCAAACTCATGGTAGATCACATCAACCTGGACACACATGGAGCATATACATTCAGGACACACATGGAGCATATACATTCAGGACACATGGAGCATATACATTCAGTAATGGACCAAACTCATGGTAGATCACATCAACCTGGACACACATGGAGCATATACATTCAGGACACACATGGAGCATATACATTCAGGACACATGGAGCATATACATTCAGTAATGGACCAAACTCATGGTAGATCACATCAACCTGGACACACATGGAGCTTATACATTCAGGACACATATGGAGCATATACATTCAGGACACACATGGAACATATACATTCAGGACACACATGGAGCATATACATTCAGGACACACATGGAGCATATACATTCAGGACACACATGGAGCATATACATTCAGGACACACATGGAGCATATACATTCAGGGCACACATGTAGCATATACATCCAGTAATGGACCAAACTCATGATAGATCACATCAACCGGACACATATCGAGCATATACATTCAGGACACACATGGAGCATTTACATTCAGGATACACATGGAGCATATACATTCAGGACACACATGGAGCATATACATTCAGGACACACATGGAGCATATACATTCAGGACACACATGGAGCATATACATTCAGGACACACATGGAGCATATACATTCAGGACACACATGGAACATACACATTCAGTAATGGACACACATGGAACATATATATTAAGGACACACATGGAGCATATACATTCAGGACACACATGGAGCCTATACATTCAGTAATGGACCAAACTCATGATAGATCACATCAACCTGGACACACATAGAGCATATACATTCAGGACACATATGGAGCATATACATTCAGGACACACATGGAGCGTATACATTCAGGACACACATGGAGCGTATACATTCAGGACACACATGGAGCATATACATTCAGGACACACATGAAGCATATACATTCAGTAATGGACCAAACTCATGGTAGATCACATCAACCAGGACACACATGGAGCATATACATTCAGGACGCACATGGAGCAATTACATTCATGACACACATGGAGCATATACATTCAGGACGCACATGGAGCATATACATTCAGTAATGGACACACATGGAGCATATACATTCAGGACGCACATGGAGCAATTACATTCAGGACACACATGGAGCATATACATTCAGGACGCACATGGAGCATATACATTCAGTAATGGACACACATGGAGCATATACATTCAGTAATGGACCAAACTCATGATAGATCACATCAACCTGGACACACATGGAGCATTCAATAAGACTTAAGATTTTTAAAATATTCTACTAGATACAGGTACTTGTGGGCCCAACTGTCCCAGGTAAAAAGAAAATGTCAGGTCTACCTGGGGCCTGGATCCACCTTTCTCTGACTTCATCATCAGGTACTCCCAGACTGAGATACTGTTGACCAGACGAGGTAACACAACCTCCATCAGCTCTTCATCTGTACACTGTTTCATTATCTGAGAAACACATAAATGGTCAGCAAGCTCATTTAAGGGATTTTAATCATTCTTAGCAGCTAAAAAATACTTTGTTTTAATCTTATGGACAGCAGTTTACATTTTTTTTTAATCATATAAAAATTTATCACAAAGCTGACAGTCAAAAATTAAAAATAATTTTGTCTTGTGAAATTTAACACAAAGCTAGCAGGCAAGAAATAATTATTTTCTCCTGTGAAATACAGAGCTTTCTGGTATAGATGTGTATTTATGTGAAATCCAAAACTACAGATCTTCCAGTAAACAAATGGTAAAAGATAGAAAACATGTCTACTTAAAAATACCCACATCTTTCAATTTATTTTTCCTCCTCAACTGAGCATTGTGTTTGTGATGGGCCCATCTGCCCCTGTATCCACCCCTCCCCCTCCCCCTGGGGGCCACGGGTGATGTGGCACCTAGAGAGTTGATGGAGTCCTGAGTATTGGAATCTTCGGAATAATTCTCTACGCTGTTGCAGCTGACTTTGGCTCCATCTCTGGCAGCGTCTGACATCTGAGATAGGCTGCCATCTGGCTGTAGTGACGCATCTAAAAGTAGCAATAAACTCATCTTAAACATTGCATGGCTGTAGCGACGCATCTACAAGTAGCAATAAACACATCTTAAACATTGCATGGCTGTAGTGATGCATCTACAAGTATAAATAAACACATCTTAAACATTGCATGGATGTAGTGATGCATCTACAAGTACCAATAAACACATCTTAGACATAGCATGGCTGTAGTGATGCATCTACAAGTAGCAATAAACACATCTTAAACATTGCATGGTTGAAGTGACGCATCTACGAGCTAGCATTAAACACATATAAAACATTGCTTGGCTGTAGTAAGGCACCTACTCGCTAGCAATAAACACATGTTAACATAGCATGGTTGTAGTACTGCATCTACAAGCTAGCAATAAAGACAGCTTAAAAATAGCAATAAAAAAATCAATACCCTGATGAAACACATTGTATTATACTGTTAATTTACATTTTTAAAAAGTTAATACTGATGCAAGCATTTGTTTAATTCATGGCTTTAAATCAGTGCCATTTTGTTTTTATAATTCATCAACCTGCCAATCCTAGTCAGAGAAATTCCTTTGGGAAAGTTGTGAGGGAAAGGAGAAATAAAAGTGGGAAGAATAGAGCGAGGTTTTTAAGTCCCAGGAACTGTGTCAAAGTTTGAAAGGAGAAATAAAAGTGTGAAGAATAGAGCGTGGTCTTTAAGTCCCAGGAACTGTGTCAAAGTTTGAAAGGAGAAATAAAAGTGTGAAGAATAGAGCGTGGTCTTTAAGTCCCAGGAACTGTGTCAAAGTTTGAAAGGAGAAATAAAAGTGTGAAGAATAGAGCGTGGTCTTTAAGTCCCAGGAACTGTGTCAAAGTTTGAAAGGAGAAATAAAAGTGTGAAGAATAGAGCGTGGTCTTTAAGTCCCAGGAACTGTGTCAAAGTTTGAAAGGAGAAATAAAAGTGTGAAGAATAGAGCGTGGTCTTTTAAGTCCCAGGAACTGTGTCAAAGTTTGAAAGGAGAAATAAAAGTGTGAAGAATAGAGCGTGGTCTTTAAGTCCCAGGAACTGTGTCAAAGTTTGAAAGGAGAAATAAAAGTGTGAAGAATAGAGCGTGGTCTTTTAAGTCCCAGGAACTGTGTCAAAGTTTGAAAGGAGAAATAAAAGTGGGAAGAATAGAGCGTGGTCTTTAAGTCCCAGGAACTGTGTCAAAGTTCCCATGACATCCTTATCAGTTAATCAACAGCGTCCTGACACCCCCACGCCATCCCTATCAGTAAACTTACAAACCTGAAGACCCATACACCTATATCATCTGCATCAGTCAACCATCTGTCATAACACCCCTACCTCACGTCAACTGTTAATTTTATTTAGGGAGCCAAGACAGTAAATAATGTAAAATTTGATTTAAAGGCAAAATATATACTACACTATACAACCATGACTTAATTATAGTTCCTGCAACATTGTTTTAAAATTTATCATTCATAGAAACTAGGATAAATGTCTTTTTACAGAATAAAGTTGAGCAAATTTAGCATTAACAAATGTATCCTTGCAGTAGCTGTCTAGTATTTGTATTGTATTGTATTGCATAAATTAAATTACCCTTGCTGTCGTCTCCATCAATTGAACCATTCTGCAGGGAAGAGATGCTGCCAGTTTCTGAGGGGTTGGTGCAGTGGTCAGGGTTGAGCCTGTAGTGTCTGTTCAGTCCAGCTTGACCAATGTAAGACTTGTCACATGTCTGGCACTTGTGATTCTTTGGTCTGCCAGCTCCAAGGGCTGAAAGAATAAAAATATTCTCAGACTAAAACCACATCAATATTGGTGATCAATTTTACTTAGCTAGCGCCTTTCTCTATTGGCAGCAATGTTTTTGTTATATCAGAGGACCAAATAATACATGTTTAAGTGCATATTTGAACAAGCATACCCCCCCCCCACACACACACACCAGCATTTTACAGCACACCTACCCACCCTAGCATTATACAGCCGACCCCCCCCCCCACACACACCAGCATAATACATCCAACCTCCCCACACCTACATTTTACAGCCAACCCCCCCCCCCCCCCACACACACACACCAGCATTTTACAGCCAACCGCCCCACACCAGCGTTTAACAGTACACCAGCATTTTAATCTCACCAACCCATATCATCACGTTTTACAAATTAAATATGTCCACAAGTTTACACCAGAAATTATTTTTGCGATCTTGAACAAGTAAACTCCAACCATTTAGTAATTATTTTTAATTTTTTAAACGTTTAAATTCTATTCCAATTTTTCGTGTTTTTTTTTAAACATTTCCTGAGTAGATTTTATCTAATAGTAAAAACGAATTCTATGTGTCTTGAAACAGGTCTTGAGAAAAGGGGTAGATTGGCTTTTAGAGCAAGCTGGTAAAAACGTTAACACAGATACCTGTGTTTCGGTCAAAGGTCTCCGGCAGACACACATAGAAGGATTCTTAAGCCCTGTTTTATTAACTAGATCTAGTATTAGATTCATCATTACACCATTCAATAGCTTTACAGAGAACTAGTAGTTAATAAATCTAAAATGTGTCAAATGTGTAGGACCATGTTGCAGCATATGTGTGACTCGTACAAGTGCTGTATTAATTAGTAGGTCGTAGCACATGTGTAGTTTACACACGCCACGTGGAGAGAAGCGTTTATCTGGTAACACACGACGCCGAGAGAGCCAGTTGAATGAAGAGGCGAGCGTGTATGTGTGTTCACGTAGCGACAAGCCAAGCTGTAAACAAAGATTGACCCCGTGACCTCTGACCCGAGCTCGTTACACGGCTGCTACATCTGAACACACAACACGGCAGGGTGCCACAAGATTACCGTGTGTGGCTTAGAGCGGTGCTTCAATCAAGGGGAAAGTTGGCCTCTGTAGAACTAAAACACCAATTGTAACAGAACCAGGAAGATGGCCCGTTGTTACGCTGGGACTCCCACACTAGTAACAACCAGACCAGAACATGGCTCTCGCTGGTTTACTCTGGGCGCTAAACGTGGCCGGGTCACTGCCTGTCCTCGCTTCATCCAGCCCACTCATTCAGACATTCAACGCATCTCTCACTTTCCCTATAACATATTTATGGGTCTAGTGATGAAGACAAATACATTTAACTAAGCGATAAATATCAATCACTATTCTTAATGTTATTCCGTATTGGGTTAAAGAAATCACTTTGCGAATCCATACAATACTACATAGCTTTCATTTAATGTTTAGTTGGCATTATGGATATAAGTAATAACCAAGTGTGCTTTTAAAATGATAACTAACGAAGAAATAAGCACGAGAAATCTGTACACACACGGATGATGGGACCTCGTTTGACTGGGCTTCGAGTGTTAGCAAGAAGACAGCTATTTCACGGTGATCACCACTCCATGACATGAGGGCAACGTGGTCACCATGGAAACCATCAATTGCTCACCACACCACTATTGGACAACATGATGGGGGCAACGTGGTCACCATCAATTGATCACCACATAACTATATGACGGCAAGATGGGATGCATAAGTCACCATAGCAACCATCACCTGATCACCACACCACTATAAGACGGCAAGATGGGACACCCTAAGTCACCAACCATAGCAACCATCACGTGATAACCACACCACTAAATGACGGCAAGATGTGACACTCTATGTCACCATAGCAACCATCACGTGATCACCACACCACAATATGACGGCAAGATGGGACACTCTAAGTCACCATAGCAACCATCACGTGATAACCACACCACTAAATGACGGCAAGACGGGATAAATAAGTCACCATAGCAACCATCACGTGATCAGGACACCACAATATGACGGCAAGATGGGACACTACGTCACCGTAGCAACCATCAAGCGACAACCACTACACCGACACATTAACAATATATCGGTGTCAGCCACAGCAAGAGACACCCCTTAAGACAGGTCAAGAACACGGCTGTAAGAAGAAAATCAAACCATTAATGAGTGAGTTCTTATCATCCAAGGACGACGGTCTAAAAATAACTCGTAGTGTCAGCTTACTTGTGGTGAGTATGAACAGCTTGTACAGTACAAGAAGGCGAGCTCGGCGCATGCGTCAGTTTTGTGGTGATCGTGTCATGCCTTGGTTCACTACCACCACACCAGTAGCAACTATCCCATTTATTAGCTGTGCTAATCATAGTATTGTGGGTATCATTTGAAGACGGAGTAAAAAGCTTCCACTTTGGACTTGGCAGTCTATGGGGCACAGAAGTACAGTTCACCTGTTTCTGTGACCACATCGTATGAAGGGATATATTTGCCCAGCCGCCTTAACTTTCGAGTCCTACATTCCCGAAATGTTCGGGTTAATAATTGAATGCTCAAACAGACTGATACATGTTAAATTACAGGGTTTAACTTATTGCTATGGGGTTGGGTGAAGGGATGTGCTCCAGGGCGACCACCCCCCCCCTCCCCCCAGATGCCAGAAATAAACAATGCATTTGGTATACTTTTCAAACACTTTCATAGTAATTTTCATGTCAGTCTGACCTTTACCTCCAACATGGAATGAATCATTTCAGTGTAGTAGGATAGTCAGGTGTAATGAGCTAGGATAGTAGTGTCTAGTGTACTAGAATAGTGTATTAGAATAGCCAGAGCTAGTGTACTAGAATAGACAGGGCATAGCCAGGGCTTGCGTACTAGAATAGCCTGGGCTAGTGTACTAAAATAGCCAGGGCTGGTATACTAGAATATCCAGGGACTGTGTACTAGAATATCCAGGGACTGTGTACTAGAATATCCAGGGACTGTGTACTAGAATAGCCAGGGACTGTGTACTAGAATTGACAGGGACTGTGTACCAGAATAGCCAGGGCTTGCGTACTAGAATAGCCTGGGCTAGTGTACTAAAATAGCCAGGGCTGGTGCACTAGAATAGCCAGGGACTGTGTACTAGAATAGCCTGGGCTAGTGTACTAGAATAGCCTGGGCTAGTGTACTAGAATAGCCAGGGCTAGTGTACTAGAATAGCCAGGGCTAGTGTACTAGAACAGCCAGGGCTAGCATCCCATAGTTTTGTTTTGGGGTTTTCTGAACAAAATTGAAAGTAGCATCTTCACCTCCCAATCCTCGTGTGTATTTTGAGCCGTCAACAAATAAAAAAATAAAAAGGAAGATAGCAAGTAGGCCGTGATACAACATGGTCAGAACATGATATGACGCCCTCCCCCATCCACAACTAGAGACTCGTGCTAAGCATCGGACACATGAGACAAAAAGGTTAAGTGATCAGTGGTAGTAATAAATGTTACAAAGAGGAGTACTGGAACTTGGTGCAATGTTTGATATTTGCAGGACTGGTTATATATATATATATATATATATATATATATATATATATATATATATATATATATATATATATATATTCATAGATCTAAATGTTACACATATATTCAACAGAAATAAGAAACAGCTCCTTTAATATGTTTGATTTTTTGTAGTGGTTTTCATTTAATCAAGTCATTAAGTGAGTACTTACACTTCTTGGGTAGTCAGGAGATAGAGCTAGATTATTTCAGTGTTGAGGAGACTATTACGTTCAACTTCGTTAGAAAAGGCTTAAATGAAGTGGTCGTTCATTAATGACGAGATGCTTTTACACCCCCTCCCCCATCAAAATTCTAAGCCAGTCACTCTCCCCACCCCTTAAATGACGTCACGGCATGCCTGATCTACATATAGGCCTATGCATTTAAAAATAAAATCAAACTTCACATAACGCAGGTTATATACCAGAATATGGAGTTGTTGTTTTTGAAATGAATCCCCCGCTGCCATGTTTGTATTAGGAGCGGTCACACACTGCATGATTAAGACAAGAGTAAGTGACCAATACGGTGCTGACGGGAATAACGCCAAAAATCAATACCCCGGTGAAACATGTTGCGTTAACCTATTCATTCTTTTTTTTTCTCTCCTTCAAATTACTGATTCATATTGACGAGGGTGTTTGTGTTTAATTCATGGCTTCAAATCAGTACCGGTGTGTTTTGCTAACTAATCAATCTAGCCATTCTTCGACGGATGGAAACGACAACTCGTTTGGGAGACGGTGTGTGTGTGGGGGGGGGGGGGGGGGGGGGGGGAGAGAGATAAAAAGCGAGAAGGATGGAGAGCTTTTAAAGCGTCAGGACCGTTGTGTCACGGTGCAACTGGCAAGACAAGTGCAATATTTACTTGCACGGTTTTCTTGAGATGCGCATGTTGCAGTCGGGAACCGTGATGTCAACTGGCAAGACAAGTGCAATATTTACTTGCACGGTTCTCGTGAGATGCACATGTTGCAGTCGGGAACCATAATGTCAACTGGCAAGACAAGTGCAATATTTATTTGCACTGTTCTCGTGAGATGCACATGTTGCAGTCGGGAACCATAATGTCAACTGGCAAGACAAGTGCAATATTTACTTGCAAGGTTCTCATGAGATGCACATTTTGCAGTCGGAAACCGTGATGTCAACTGGCAAAACAAGTGCAATATTTACTTGCATGGTTCTCGTGAGATGCACATGTTGCAGTCGGGAACCGTGATGTCAACTGGCAAAACAAGTGCAATATTTACTTGCACGGTTCTCGCGAGATGCACATGTTGCAGTCGGGAACCGTGATGTCAACTGGCAAAACAAGTGCAATATTTACTTGCATGGTTCTCGTGAGATGCACATGTTGCAGTCGGGAACCGTGATGTCAACTGGCAAAACAAGT